TTGTTTTCAGGAAATTCATCGCCACTGGTGATGTGTGCTCAGTGGAAGAAGGCAATAACGCCGAAACATTACTGTTTGGATGCTCGAAACGGTATTACGGATGTCGTTTGTTGAAAATATTTGAGTTAAAACCAGTTTTAAAGCGACAGTCATTTATGGTGAGCTCTGATCGAGACAATGACATTGCTTTTATTGCAATGGCCAATGGAGCGAAACATGAGGATCAACTGAAGGCTGCATTTTGTGCGGAGTACGTTATTATCAGTGGGAGGTTGGTGGTGTATTTGTCATAGTAACGTAAATATTCATAAGCAGTTATATCAGTTCATAACAATGAATTATGATGATAACAGTGGTGATAATTTTTTGGTAAGTCCAGCAGTGAATATGTTTTTTGAAGATTCCCATCCACTGAAGAGGAGCAGGTGTTCATGAATTGCTTGAAGTCGAAAGGTTGGAAGACCAATCAGCATCGTCTGGCTTTCGATCAATGGACATTCACCTCAAAACAATAAGAGGGATCACTTCTTCATCAGTATTCCTATCATCATCACTATTAGCGTTTTTAGTCATTATCGTTATCACTATGGGTGCAATTGTTACGTCTGATTTATAACACTGATGAAGGTGTTTCTTCTATTTACCTGCTTATTGTTATCGAATTTTGGGTTTCATTCACTATTCGTCGTTAACGGAAACATCCATTAGATTTCCGACAGTCGTGTTTATTTTAAAAGAATTAAAATTTCACTTCTCGTGCACACATAGTTATGATTTCTTTCATGTGGCCGTTATTTTAGACTCTGAATTCATGATATCATTTGTGGGTATAGAAGTTCGTTTTTTTGGTTTTTTGTGGTGGTAGAACTCTAAACTGTTAACATTCGACTGTATATTACTATTGCATTGAAACGGAAGGAGTAGGAAATAAAAAACAGATCGTTGAAACGATTGTGTAATATAATCGTATGATATAATTGATATGATATGATATAATTGTGTGATAAAATCTTACGGGATGCTGTAAAATAAGCAATTGGAATGTTTGAACAGTTGAAAAGCTCGATTGGTAGCAATTGTGAATAGCCGAATATTTTGGTATATATGCACTTGACGAAAGCTGTTATGGTTGGGTATTGGAAAGAAATTGCTTACGTGAAAATATACCCTTACAAATGCGGGTGGATCTCTTGTCATATGAAATTTTCGTTCATGAAATACCTGCTTCCCAGATGATTAAGAACCTCTCCGATTGGGTCAGCATTGAAAGTATGAACTAAACTGTTAAACTTGAGCATACAAATGGCCTAAGAGCATGGAAATTAGAGAATGTCAGCCAAACAAAAATGGTAAAGTGCAATGTTCGCCTTGAAAAAAGACAGTAGAACAAGAAAATTACAGATGTCTATCGAGGAACATTCTCGAAGTGATGGATAAAATGGATATGAGTAACGAGAACCAACGAGAAACTGACGAGTCAGTTAATAAAAGTACTCTGAAAAGCTAAAACTTTTAGCTAGTAGGTACGTTAAGCTTCGAGACGGTACGAGTATGGTAGGCATGAATTTAGTGCAGTGCTATAGCGCGGATTTATACTTACATGCCTTAATGGTAGAAGATTTATGCATTCATTCGCACCGGTACGGTTAGCGGATTAGTGGACTAAATCCGCTAATCCGCTAACGTTTGCGAAAAACTAGCCCGCTAAACCGCTAACCAACGGCAATAAATCCGCTTACGCTAAAAAAATTCTACTGACTGAACACGTTAGCGCGCTAATCGCTAACGTTAATCCGCTGATTCGCTAACAGCGGATTAGCGAATTGGCGCACTAATGCCCATCCCTAAAGGGTGGACGTTCACGTCGGAAGCTAAACGAGATAGCAACAATTTCAAAACATGGCTTCAGTGATGAACCAACATTCGCGTAAGTTGAATAGCATCTGTAGAATCGTTCGAATCGATCATCAAAACGTAAAATAGGTTTTGTTACCACTATCAGCAAATG